ACACTACGGGCTGCATAATGCAAAGAAAGCCTTTTACGATGAAATTGCCGCCGAAAAGTTGAAAATTGTGTTCATTACTTCACGTTCCGTAACTCATATTGGGCGAAGCGGATCTGCTCACATAGTTAACGCAAGGGCAACGTGTACATACATACTGACTACAGCGGTTAGTTATCGACGGGATTGTGCTTATTATACACTCATTCTTAAAGACCGTTGTCGGGAAGGGCAATAACTGAGCAACGCTTATTCTACTGCACCAGGTAGACTCGACTCAAAACGATGTTGTGGTGAAAATTTTTCACTGAAAAGCCAAGAAAATCATCGCAATTTTTGCCAACATGAAAAAAATTACATCGATCAGTCGAGATGGTCTCTTCACGCAGCTATCTTGACGATCCTCGTATTATTATAATCATCCCGAGCAGCCTCTATCACATCTTTGTCGAGGGAACCTGTAGAAGTTCAAGGCCTATCTATTTTACTACAACTACTACCTTGACGTGGGTAAGCGGTCCACTGTGGTTCGTTGGTGAAGAGCCTCACAGCTTGAAGACAGGGGCTCTCCTCAGAGACGCAGAATCTGTGCCAGATTCCGGGAGGAAGAATCTATAGGGACGCTTACACAGAGAGAGCTCTAACTGACTTACAATCAGCGCGCCACAGTGACGCGCTGATTGGTAGTGACTACCAATTTTAATCCTGATCCACTTATCATCCGCATCGCGGATATCGAAGTACCTGTTACAATAGTCGTGTGTATTATCACTCCAAAAGTAGCCAACTCTTTTTCTGCTAGTACTACTACTACAACTACTACTACTTCATTCATTCATTCATTGAGCGCTTCAATCCAGCTAAGGGACAAGCGCGCTGCGAATAATAGTAAATTTATGCCATTTCCCTCTGTCCATGGCTTTCTCCCTGATGTTTCTCCATCTTCCTCCACGATCCTCCACATCCTGTTTGACAAGCTTCAACCACTTCGAATCAGATTCAATCTCCGATTCTATCCATTCTCTTTGAACCGCATCCCTAGGTTGCCGCAGATCATGACCAAACCAACGTAAACGTCTCTGATTCATAATCTCCTTAACGGTAGAGCCTTCCAACCAGTCCAGTATTTCAGTCTCACCCACTTTCCAATCGAACTCACCATCAACATCACCATTATTCGACTGGTTAGTGTTTCGACCCCACCTTATGATATTGCTAACCAATTTGTTGCAGCACCTTTGCAACCTTTCCGCATCGTTCTTGACGTACACCCAGGTTTCGCAATTGTATAGAAGAACACTCATTACGCAGCTCTTGAAAATACGTTTTTTGGTGGTGGCGAGAATTCCCCTAGCCTTCCAGATGTTTTTCAGATCGTTGAACACAGCAGTCGCCCTTCCAATTCTCCGGTTTATTTCCCTGGTTAGTTTTATTTTCGTTGTGAGCAAGGTACCCAAATACACCATTGACCCTACACATTTCAATTTCTGTCCCTCGACTAGTTGAATACAGACTTCCTCAACCTCTT